CAACCAGTAGTTTGTCATAGCGAAGGATATACTATTAATCAACTGTAACCACCCTGCATAGCTCAATAAAGCAGAACTCCAATGCTTAATCCTCCCAATAATTTTATCCACCAAGATCATATAATGGTTGATGGACAATCTCTTACAAGTTATGGGCACTCCGAGATATCTAAACGGAAGGGAGCCTTCTTTGAAATCTGTCAACTTCAGGATTTGGTCTTTAGTAGTTGCCTCCACTCCTCCAAAATAAATGTTGAAAACTTAAAGACAACACACACAAGTCATTATCTGAATCATCTTTACTGAGATATCTTTTAAACTTGTTCCTTCGTAAACCCTAAAATATCAAGCAACAGTCCAGTTACTCTAGTCGAAAGGTGGTTGTCATACCCTAAATTTGTCACACCCTTTAATAAAATCATATGGCTTATGCATCTCATAATCATCATGTACATACCCTCCATTAGGTCATCTAACACCTCATACATTCACTAACAACAAGGCATAATTCATATTAGTGGTCATGGGATCAGGGTTTCAGTTGTGCATTGGAGTTTCTCTATCTTTTGCAAGTTTATCTCAACTAAGGATGCAAAGGTCGTGGATTAGGGTTTATCCATTGTGCTTAAGGTTATCGAATGAATATTCAAAAAACTTGGTTATGCATCATCAGTGGACTTCTTCTCAACATTTTGACCCTCCTCATTATGTGGGCTGAGATGCTTCATCATGGTGTTTGCATATATCATTGAAATTAGTGTTTATTTCCCTATGTAGTACATAAACGCAAGCTTGATAACTAGATAGTTTTCAAGGTCCTATCTTCATTAAGACCTCAATATTAAAGTTTTGTTGCTCACATTCACTCACTCATAATACAAGTTATTCATCAATTTACTTTCCTTAGCATTTGGATTATATTTGAGGTAAAAAAAGAATAATTGGAATTTGGGGTAAAGGTGGAGTTTCATTCAATTGGATTCAAAGTAGACTAAATCACAAGTCATCATAAGCTGCTTTGGAATATAAGTTATAAGATATTACAAGAAGCAATTACAACAAAAGGAAAGGTGATCAACTTGTTTGTCTCATTTCTAATGGAAAAGTCACGAAGCGTTTTATTGAATGTTTGGTTCATATGATTTGCTCAAAGATACAATAGCATCACTACAAGGCTACATTACAGCAAGTCATATTTTGAATACATAAAGGGGAAGACCATTGATTTGGATAAAGATGTCGCAAGATGCATCCATTTCAAATACATAAAAAAAAACTACACAAATTTTTGTCCTAAGCCTAGTTCCTAGAAGTCTAACTTCACCCTTCCTTTCCAAGCTTCTTCATCTTCAAATTATCACCTTCATGACAAGCTGCTCAAACTTCAAACAACCATGTTTTCATCTTGGTACAAACTTACAAAGCCAGCAGCCTTGAGCATCACCTATATCATCAACATTAAGCCAATTAAACATGAATTCAACCCAAGCTTCCTGCCACAAAATACAATGCAAGCAGTCCAGGCATTCTTTAAAACCTACATTCCAAAACAAATTCACATCATTCTATACCATCTAAACCTACAAAAAAAACCTATTAACACATTCAAAAACCAAAAGCAAACTGTCCACTCGCTAACAGATTTGCAATTAAACTTAAGTGTTATTACAGGTAACAATCTCAAAACCACTTTCCTGCATAAACAGAAACTCGAACGGCGCAAACAGATCGGCATGACATTACACAAGAAAATCATCAACACAAGCCAAATACACATACAAAGGATTCCAGGACAACCAATTCAGATACAGTGTGGCAAGGGATAAGCATAGTTCAATTTATGATCAAAACAAGTTCTAAAACAAGTTCAGTTCGATGCATATCCTAAGTTTTCAAGAGTTGCACTTTCGCTCTAAGTTTCAACACTAAAATCCCCTTTTTACTAACAAACCTGTTTTAGCATTCACGTCCAACTAATTCCTATTTTTAGTCACTAACAGTTTTACCGAGCAAGTCCTCTTTAATTTATATCCAGTTGCCGACATTTTATAGCATAATCAAAACTAACCATGGCATAATCACTAAACTCGTTCGCTAAACAGTTAACTAACAGCTGCATTCATAACTAACCGTAACAGAATTTTCAATTAACAACTAACTAAAACTAACTCTAACCGAATCTCAATCACCTCCCATAACTAACTTCTAACTTCCCTAAATTAACATTAACAGATTTTCACTAATTCTAGCTCATTACTAACTAACATAACAGAATCTTAATTTCACAACTGACTCCTAACCGATTCAATCCCTACCATTGATCTTCTAACCAACTCTCTAATCATCCAATGGCCTAAAACAAATCAAGCTCCAACTGAATTTCTAACTGCTTCATCTATATAACAAATTCATCACATTTAAACTCACTTCTTCGCACATCATTCAAACTCTTTCCACCATTTTTATCAGTTTTAAAACCATTTTCTCCTTCATTCATTCTTCACTCTCTCAATTCACCTCCATCCTCATGATATTGTCGCTTTCTGATTCGGATCTTAATTGAAACCTTTGAGTTGATCGAACGGTGATTCGATGTGGAGACGGAAACGATACTGAGAGGTATCAAGAAAAGAAAGTAAATCTGCGGAGAAGACGAAGCTGTTGTGGCGGTCGGACCTTTGAACGGTGGCAAAAGAAGGCGAGAAGAGTTTGGTTGCAGCGTTGGATTAAAAAATCTGATGGTGATGATAATTGGGATGGAATCCACGAGTCTGATGCTGAATTGCCACGCGCTTGCTCTTTTTTTTTTAAGCTCAATATCACTCATTTGGATGTCCTTTGAGCTTGTGAATAAAAAACAGCTTTTGGATCATTTTTGTTTGGGCCTAGAGCTTTATTTTGCTAGACACAACTCCTCCTTGCTGCTTGTACCCCATGGTTTACTTTGTTGCATTTTGTTTAATTTTTAATTGTTTAAAGGGATACATAGACATTAGGTTGCAGGGCTTAAGAGAGCACAATTATTTAAAACATTTGTTTATCTACATTTTCCTTAAGCAATTCATGCATGCATTCCCTTAACAAGTAAGCATTAGATATAACACACCATTTGATTAGAACAACAAGAGTGGATCACATGGAGTACCACAGACGTGAGGGGTGTTAATACTTTCCCCTTGCATGATCGACTTTTGTACCCTTTTTCTTGGTCGTAAGACTATATTATCCTTTCTTTGGGGGGTTTTCTCGATATTTTCCCTTCCTTCGGGATAAATAAAGTTCGGTAGCGACTCTGTTGGGAAATTGCCTAAGCAGGTTGATCCTAACACTTGATTGTTTTCTTTTCATTGGGTGTTATCTTTATGTACTACTTTCTATGTTTATTTTCATGATTTACTTATTACTTATTTATTACATGCATTGCATTTTATTACTTATTTATTACATGCAATGCATTTTATTGTTGGATTTTCTATTTTTCAGGTTAAGTGGATGTTACTTTGAGATAAAAGGTCCATTACTCAGACTAATGTACACGTAGATTTAGAGTGGATACTCATGTCAAATCTTGTGTTCCCTGGACACGTGTGAGGGGGCATGAGACACCATACACAGACAAGGTTCTCTTAGCAATGCATTTGCCTTGCACCTTTTGTGCAAATACAAGGTGTTTGAATAGGGCATGAAACACCATACACAGACGAGGTTCTCTTAGCGATGCATTTGCCTTGCACCTTTTGTGCAAATACAAGGTGTTTGAATAGGGGGCTCCCGACTCGGTTGTCATTAGGACTCCCTGTTCTGTACAAGACTAGAACCCACATGTGATATAGGGATGGGACAGAAAAACATGCCGTCAACCTACCTGGTTTTCTCATTATTCAGAAATGTTCCAGACATTTGATCATATGATATTCAGACCTAGTTTTCGTATATTTTGAAATAGTGTCGAACCTTTAATCCCATGATATTCAGATCGTACAATATATATTCAGAGGATAATATTATGGTTATCTAGATTCTGTGGAGCCTTGATCCCATGTCTTTGCATACCATAACATCATATCATTATGTCTTTGCATACCATAACATCAAAAGATAAATACTGTCAGAAGAACACTTATGGATAGACAAGTCTTTGGGTTTCCTTTGAAATAAAAGATGGAACATGCATTCATAATATCATGCATTTTATTGTTCATAACAGAAGCTTATTTAGGCCCTTCTTTTCATTCAGAGTTCAGAATCAACGACTTTCCTACATTTGTACCACACCCGGAGTAATTAGAGAAGACTTGTGGATTTCTTTTAGCAGAATCAGATCACTCTCTATCAGGACATGGATATTATGGGTGACTGTCAGGACATGGATATTATGGGTGATAGAATGAACTAGTTCTTCAAAACTCTCCATGTTGTTATTCATGGACAAGAAGAACTCAGCTTTCTATTGTTGTTGTCCCCTCCTCTTCTGCTAATAGAGGATTGAAAAGCATAGATAAACTTCAACGTGAAAAGGAATTGTTATGGGCATAGGTCATGAAATGAAGACTCAAATGAGAATGCTTACGAAAGTCCTACAAACACTATTAAAGAAGGAAGACAATATCACACCAACTACTGCAATAGAAATGATCAATCCTTCTTATCTACAAAGTCTCACTTCATGTCAAATCACATTCACTCCAGACGGCTTGCATATTAACTAAAGCCATTTTCTCAGACATGTGTCAAGCTACAAAGAACATCTTCTCAAATAAGTAAAACCTGAAGAAGTCTCCTCAGCACTTTAAATCCTCAACACTAAAAATCACAATTCTAAATTCATCATTATTTGACTTTTGATAACTATTCACTTATGGTTTATTAACTGAAAATCACAAATCTAAATTTATCATTATGGGACTTTTAATAACTATTCACTTATGGTTTATCAACTGAAAATCACAAATCTAAATTCATCATCACGTGACTTTTGATAAATATTCACTTATGGTTTATTGTGCTCTTTAAGATTGAGATTTTAGCTTGAATAGTTATCAAAAAGCAAAAAGTGATATGACAAATAGACCATGTTGCAATTAAGAATGTAAAAACCTAAATTTTAAATTCATCATTATGTGACTTTTGATAACTATTCACTTATGGTTTATTTAAGATCGAGATTTTTGCCTTAAATAGTTATCAAAAAGCTAAAAAGTGATATGACAATAAAAAGACCATGTTGCAATTAAGAATATAAAAACCTAAATGTATTAAAAAATACATTACCATGTTGCAATTAAGAATATAAAAACCTAAATGTATTAAAAAATACATTACATTTATTCTTTTGTCATAATAAAAATTATAATTAATTAAAATCAAATTTAATTTTAAACAATAAAATAAATTAATTTAAATACGTAAATAAGAAAAACAAAGATCGTCTAGCCCATTAAATAACGGAGATCGTCTGGCCCATTAAATGAAATTTCATTCACGAGACAATCACCGTTTTTCTTATTTACGTATTTAAATTAATTTATTTTGTTGTTTAAAATTAAATTTGATTTTAATTAATTATAATTTTTCGTGAATGAATATTCATTCAATGGGCTGTGAAAATACAGCCGATCTATGCACAATATAATTTAAATATTTATTTAACATTTTTTATTAAAATTATATTATACACAAGCATATATCTTTTGTTTACATATAAAATAACAATGAATAAGGAATTTATATATTCAAGCATTTATAAAACAATCAAAATAAATTATTTATATTAATTGCTTACTGAAAAATATAAAATATCGCATAGTTATCTCGACTACAAAAGTAATATCAATATGGTGAAAATTGTTGACTTAAAATTAAAACAATATACTGGGAAAAGAGTCATTGATCAGATAATTGTAGTCTGAAATTTAACAATCGTCATGATAAATTCTGATCAGTATATCATCAACTCAATGACTCTTTCGATTCAACTTCACCGATACATTTCTAACAACGCTAAATTATATAAATAGTGTATAAAAATGGAAAACGTAGCAAATTCAATCAAAATTTTCAAATCTGAAATCTTAATGAAATAAAATGAACAAATAGGAACAAAAAAAAACATAGTCAAAGGCTCAGAGGATCCATTGGTAATTTTCTAATCACAAAGGAATTTTCTATTCCTTCATAAAATAGGTAGTTGAAAACATCATTGCCGTCAAAATAATAGATGAAACAACAAACGAAAAAAAAATGTAAATGAATTTTGCAGAATAAGAAGAAAAATATTATGAAAAACAGAGGAGCAAAGAGAACGATTGTGGGGAAGAAATAGAATTTCAGCTGTATAAATAGGGGTGATTGAATTAGGTCTAGGGTTTGAGCCGCGACTGGAATGACGGAACTACCCTCCCGTTTTGATTGGATGAGCCTTCATTTAATGGGCCAAATTTCATAGATGGACTTTTTGTAGGCCCATTTTCTGAATTGAAATAAAATAACGCATACTCATTAATTTTTAATTTTTTTATTATGATAAAAATATTGTTTCTTAAAATACTAACATTAAAATATTGTAATTTTTCATAAATAATTAACTAAATAATAATATATAAATAAGAAAACTTTAAATTAAACATTAACGGCCTCCAAGACAATTGCAAGCAATGTCTTGAACATTAAAATCACATATAATTGTGATTAATTATTTAAGTGTATCAGTTAATTCTAATAGTAAAGAGATTAATTATTGTATTTTTGTTGTAGATTGTTAATAGTAATTTATCACAGTGGAAAACGGGTTGCTTGATTCTCTTTTTAAATATACAGTTTGGTGGCGGATATCAATAAGATCGACATCATTTGTTTCATTCTAAAAGTTGAACATGCTCAAATTGTTACACAATTCCGTCCAATTTTTTCGTATAACACGATTTACAAAGTGATAAGTAAGGTGATGGTTGGAAGATTATAGCCATTTATGGAGAAGCTTGTTTCTCCTTATCAAACAGGTTTTGTCCGTGGTAGATCCATCCATGAAAAATTATCATTGTCAATGAAGTAATTCACACGATACATAATAAAAAAGGGAAGAAACGTTATTTTGTTGTTAGAATTGACTTGTCTAAAGCTTATGACAAACTCAAATGGGAGTTCATTTGGAGAATTATGGAGGAGATTGGATTTCCTGAGAAAATTATTAATGTCATTATGCATGGTGTGTGGAAACTGATATTAATTGGAATGGTAGTAAGAATGAGTTATTTCGGCTCCATCGTGGTATTCGGTAGGTATGACAAATAAATCCACCCACGTCCCGAAATTAGCAGGGAAAACCCGGGTTAATCGGGGGCGAGTGCAGGTGCGGGAAAAACCCGATTTTTATTTTTGGGTGCGGGTGATGCTAGTACCCGTCTTGCATCCACACCCGCACCAGCCAACTAAATTTAATTTATTTAATTTATTTTCAATAGTTTTATTACTCATTTACACTTTTTAATGTTATAATATCATGTTTATTAGAATTATTATTTAGTTTTAAAAAAATACAATTTAAATAAAAAATATCAAACATAAAAAATGCTTTTAAAATAATCATTTATTTAGTTTAATTATTGATTTTTATTTTTATTGAAAAAAATATATAAATTTAAAAAAAAATATTCGGGCGGGTGTGGGGCGGGTGCGAGGAAACCCGTTTTTGTTAGGGGCGGGGGAACAAATATTAACCCCTGTTGTACCCCAAAATTTGCCCTCTCATTTGTCAAGTATTTTCTCACAAGATCTCCTTTGGTTCAAGACTGCACAATGGTTGATCAACTCAAGACACCTCCTTAAGCACTGATGACTGAAATTAGGGTTTGAGATTGTACAAGGATAATTGAACTTTTAATGCTTCATATGACTTTCATGGATTATTATGGATCCCCAAGATTGCTCATGTCAAGTTTCAAGTCTTGGATCACATTTTTGCTCAGTCAATTGAATAGTTGACCTAAAAATCAACTGTATTGGGGAAAAAGTCAATTGTGGTCAATTTACAGTCAAACTTCATAATTTTTTATCCATATCAACATTGTGAACTCCTATATGTCATTTGATCAAGTTTGGACCACAATTCCTCAAGAAATTTGATTAGATCATCAAAAGGGCAAAATGGTCAAAATTAGGGTTTTGACTGAGAAAGGGCAATTTCTGATTTTTGACCTAGAAAATGGTTAATTGGTTTGATACATGATCTTAAGATTTCAATTGCATCATTTTGACCTAATGGCATGACTCAAAACATCCCCTAAGATCAATTGATTGATAGTTGATTTTCAGTCAACTGATCAAAAGTCAACTGCACACTGAAAAGTCAAACTTTGACTTTTTGGTCAAAATCAAGTGTCAAAGATCACAATTCATCAAAACATGTCAAAATATGAAACTTGTTCATCAAGAAATCAAAAAGTCAAAATTTCATTTTGAAAAGTCAAAGTTTCCAAACTTAGAAATTTTTCTAAGTGTTGAAAACTTTATGTTTTTTCACAACTTTAAGCCATTTTTTCACCATGATGCAAGATGATTCAAAGGAAACTTTCAACATGAAAGTTGTAGATCTCCATGATATCTTAAAACATTGCTTTATACAACTTCTCCTATAAATTCTTGGATCTCAAATTATTAATCCATGAAGTCATGGTCATGAAACTAAAACACTTAGTGAAATTTTGAGCATTTTTTGGTCAGGATTTTGATCTAACTTCTTGGCAAAGTTTCACATAGTTCCACTTGGATTTTGCAAAATTGATTCAAAGATGGATTATATAGAACATTACAAGCTTTCCAAAATGTCCAAGAACTCCTTGAGATCATTCTTGAGCAAGGAGAATCGAAGAGAGGAAGTTAG